TTTCACCTTGAAATCCAGAAATACTAGACATATTGATCGTGCGTTTTCCCTTTCTAAACCGTAGTAAGCCATGTTTTGGGTCTGAGTTACGGGCAACTAGCTGTCTTTAAAATTGTGAAACACGTCGGCATCGATATAACTCGAAATTTCTTTGACCAAGTTGCGAGCCAGGTTATTGTACACCGTTCGGTTATCATGTGTTGCTCCGTCTAGATCGATTTTAAACGTGAGTTTGATCGTACCGGGAACGATAACGTCGACGGGAGGTAACCTTACGATACGCTTTTGATTAGCGGCTATGGTACGCGGGTTGTGAGTGATAACTACTTCACGTCTTTCCGAGTTCCGAGTTTCGAGGAGAGTCTTAAAAACGCTCGTAAAGAAGGGTGTCCAAGTGCTAGTAGGTGAACGGGGGTTCATGGATCGCAAGGGATAGTAGATAGGTTTAACAGGACTCTCGCCCAAAGATTGTTTGGTTATCAGTACGCACAAGAAATATTAAATTCAAGTGAACGAAACGTGGAATGGGTATCAAGGTTGCCCCAAGACGTGAAAGCTCTAAACGAATAAAAAAAACCAGGTTAATTTGAGACGAGCGAGGTAGTATGTCCTTTGGAAACTATCAAGCGAAATCGAATAAAACAGTTGCCAGCTGCTCCCCAGAAAAAAAAGAGTCAGAAAAAACAGAGACGCGTTGGTTCGATACTTCTATTACCCGGGTAATATCCCCTAGCAAGAGGGTGGCACAGTCAGGAGAGCAACCAATCCTATTTGGGGTGTAAACGTGTACCAAATCGAAAAGCGCACGAGTCACTTCAAACGAGTTCACGGTAAAAAGGTAACGACGGGTCCAACGCTGTAGGCTGACTGACGGCCCAAAATGCTCTTTTGTGCGAGAAGAGCTTCAAGTGGTACCCGAAGATACAGCGTTACCGCCCAACTAAATTTACCACCAGCTCTGTAACGTCCATAAGCCAAGGTATCTACACCGTTTGGTAAGATGTATGTAGTATGCGCGGGGTGGCGCTGCTGGGCGCGCTCAGCTTGGCATGAACGTAGTCAACATGTCAGACTTGACAACCGGGCCTGGTCTCACTTGTGACGAATACAAACACCAGAGTAATATTCCAGAGAAGCAGGCGTCCAGTAGTTTCAGATGTGCTGATTTGTTGTAATTCAGATTTGATTGGAATCACATTGATAATCGTTCCTGCAGTAGCAGCGGAGGAGGCAAACAGTCCGCACCAGCCGGCGTGGCTTAGGGTTCACAAGACACCATTACGAAAACTCACCTTCTTCCTCTTCTTGCAAAGCCAACTCTTTTTTTCTTTTCAACTCGTCTTTACCAGCCAAAAATCTAAGTCGTTGCAGACATATCCCTCCGCTGCATGGGTACAGTTCTATTTTTAGACTAATTTGCATATCCAGCTGACTACATTTTGGCAATTGACTCAAACAGTAAGTAGACGAGCGCCCTCTGTTGGTCCAATTAGTGACTAATCAAGCAAAATCATAATATATGTTAATCGTTTCCCACATTTACCGTTTCGAAACCAAAAGACTCAGCGACAATTTGTTTTGTGTTATCGTAAACAGCTGATGTTTGTAAGATCTAAAAAGGCGTTGGTTAAAAGAGCTTTGACGTTGTTGAAACAAGCAAGCTTTGTAGTTCTCGTGCGACAGGTGTTTGCTTATAACGACCTTGGTCACTCCTTTGGCTTTTTTCAGCGTGTGTGGATCAAGCGTTCACGGGTCAAACGTTAAAATACTATACATCTTGGGTCTTATAGCAACGCAATCCGACAAGAGCTTTTCCCCAAACTCATCTTTAAGTCTAACTGGTCTTTTTTTCGAGTATGCACGTCTCTCGTTTGAAGCTGCACGAGTAGACTATCTGTATCTATAGACAACTTCACTCGATTTTTAAAATCGCGTTTTAATGTGTTGTAGTAGAATTCATACATGAGCTTTTTAGAGAGGTCCGTCACAGTGGCCCCATAATAGATCGTTTTTTTTCAACACCGTTTTAGTTCTAGAGGACTCTACAAACGACAACTCGCACTCGAGAAAGCCGTCTTTGTTTTATAGTTGGCTTGACAAGACAAACGTTTGAAAAAGACCCGCATCCTTTTCGTCTCTCAACATGCGCCCATCGAAATGTTTTCTCACGTTTTCCATCGTTTTACCAAAAACTGAGTTGTTCATCAATTTAGAAAAGTCTTTTTCAAAATCTGTCTTATAAATTAGCTTGAGTCCTTAGTTGGGTGTTCTCATCGATGTATAGCTTTGCATCCAAGGTTTTTTCGCAAAAGATAACACGCGGTGTACTGTTTTCAACTCTAGACCCAGACGCAAATTGGTCTGCACCGTGCGGTGGTGCACCACATACTACTTGCGTTTAGGCAAAAGCATCATTGTTAATTTGTCGATCTCTCTTGCTGGTCTAAGAGATCTCTTTGGTAGTTAGAAAGCCAATCTTCGGGTATCATAAGGTTCTCGGGTGCCAAAAGAAAATCGTTTTGTTGGTCGTGGAGGTTTTGGGGGTAGTCGGGTCAACTTCGAGTAGAAACCCGTTTTAGAGTAGGGCGAAAGCCTCAGCACGCGGTCTTTTGAGAACTTGTGGGGCTTTACCCAGCTAAAGTTACCGTAAGGTAACGGTTGAGACATGCTCCATCCTTAGAGGTTGTTGGCATCGAGGTAGACCCCGTAACTTAGTGGAGGGCTGACTGGCGTCGTAGTCTGGCAGGTATTTGTTGTTGGCTTAAATTTAAAGTATCGATCACCACCCACACTAGCTACACCACGTCGTTTGGCGCGTCCAAAAACAAGTGCATGTCAGTGTCTGTCAACAACTCTAGTTTAACGTCAGAATGTTTTAGTGGCACGTCCCATGCAAGAGAGACCGGGTGCTGTGTAGAAGTTGGCCGGATTGAGGTCTTCTAGTAGGCTCGACAAACGCGGTGAAGGTTTGAAACACATCCGTGAGCAACAACGTGTCTGTTTCGATGTGGAGATCGTGGTAGTCCCCCGGGGTACGACAACCAATTGAAAGCTTCCCAAACTCGTTGGACTATCAAATGTTTTAGCTCACTCACGGTTTCTTGTTTTAAACTGCTGTGAAAGCTATCTAAGGGCGTCCAAGTCGTTTCTTTGAACTTGTCAAACGAATTATATTCGTAAAGATAAAGGCATTTTTGTAACTAGATACTGTCCAGCCGGTGCCTTGCCGGAGCAACAAGTTCGGGCTACATGTATGCACTCCACAGGACACAGGACCTTGGGCTGTCCTCAAGGCTCAAATCCGGGTGTCTTGGGTGCCCAGCGTTGCACGAGTCTAGCTGGCAGTCCCAGGGCATACAGCCAAAGTGGTAAACTGTGGCCTACAACAGAGAGCAGGTCCATTCCATTATCATGATCGATATAGTGGGAATACAGTGGAACTTGTCCACTAGCAGGTACATTACACTCCCATTAAATTATACAGAAAGGCAAATAGCAAAATCTAGCCGCAGTGAAATAAAACAATGCCTTGTGGAATCCTCATGGGATTAATATAACCAGATCAAAGCAGCTACAGACCAAGTGACCACTGCACAAGGCCAACTCCAGTTATATAGGTGATTGGTTTGGTCTCTGGGCATTAACTCTGCTTGATACACTATTTTACCAGCAATTTGTACTTGCCTTGTTTCTTGACTGACACATAAAATTTAAAAGAATACTACAATAACACACACAAGCATATCATAATTAAGTTCCCACCACAACACAATGCTAATAATAACATCGTCCTGTACACTTTCAGCCCATGAACACCAGGATTAAAATATAAAAGCCACTCATAAACTTTTCGGTTAAGGCTTCATCCTAAAAAAAAAATTCAAATTCTCAAATTGATCTAAAAATGACAACTCGCCAAATCCAGCCATCATAAACTGATGTAAAGCTTAGGCTAACTAGCATAAAGTCTATTCTGTACTATCATATATAACTCTAAGGAACTGGTAGCCATCAAACGCATTGCCAAATACGGGTAAAATAAATTAAGTTTCCTATTGGAAAGCCGGCATTGGGAATTCAACAGGCTAAGAAACATAAATGTAAATTAATTTTCAAGCAATATGCCTCTTAATATCTTCCTCAAATCCTGGAAAATATTCAGAAACAAATCGTAGAAGCCTCATTACGTGCCGCT